AAGATCATGGCATCTGGTCCCATCACTTCATGGCAACATATGGGGAAAAAATGGAAACAGCGACAGACTTTATTTTCTTGGGCTCCAAACTCACTGCAGATGGGGACTGCAGCCATGAAATTAAAAGACGCTTGCTCCTTGGAAGAAAAGCTATGACCAGCCTAGGCAGCATATTAAAAAGCAGAGATGTCACTTTGCTGACAAAGGGCCATTTAGTCAAAGCCGTAGTTTTTGCAGTAGTCATGTACAGATGTGCAGTCCATGGGGTTGCAGAGTCGAACATGACTGAGCAACTGAACAACAACCGTGATCATACAACTAAACCAAGACTGAACATATGGAATCAGTGTCCTCCTTTAATGAAGCACCTAGAAGAAGAATCTTTGACCCAGTCAACCTACATGTCTTTCAAATAAAGCTGATCATCTGGCCTTTGAACCAACAAGTTTACTTTGGCCATACGTGACCAGATCACACAGCTGTTTCCATTCCCAAGTCTTCTGTTATACAAAGACTACATCCCTTGTGGTGGACACCAGCTGGCAGGACAAAGGCAGCCCTGCCTAGAGAGAAGGTAAAAAAGCCAGTCATGAGAGGAGAACTACTTTGTGACATAGATTTCATTGGTTACCTAGGAAGTGGAGAAACTGGACACTAACAGGAAAGGAATGCTACCTCCTGGGCTGGCCACAAAAGCTGCTACTAGTAAATGAGAAATCAGTGCAAAGGGTGATTGTCAGCCAAGAAAAGCAGGAAGCTACCTAATATCACAGTCAGTCATTCTAAGAAGGAGAGGAAGAAAACACAGGGGTGGGGGTGAAGAAATACTCTAGTTTTACAAACACTGATACCGTCTTGGGGGGAGAATCTTTCCTTTGCTGTAGTCCAAGAACTGACACAAAAGTCAGCACGCCTATGGCCTCCAGTGCCCTCTCTAACCTAACCTGCCTCTGCAAGAACATCCCTATGTGACCCCTGAGAGGGAAGCGGAGGGAGGTGAGTCGTGAAGCTGCCCCAGATTCTGTGCTCCGGGTGGAGAAGGCCTCAAGAAGGTGAAAGGATGAGCTAATCTGAGCTTCCTGGCCCCATTTCCAAGGAAGTGATTAGTGGAGAGGCACCTGGGACCTGCTCCATTTCAGGAAACCCGGTTATGGGAACTGGTGGGGCACAGACTTGACTCAGGACCCAAGAGAAGCAGTTAACCCTTCTCTATTGCCTGCATGAGAAACAGGCTCTCTTAACCATTTCCCTGGGGGAAAGAAACTGCTCAAGGGGGTTTAGTTTTGCAACAGCCTGAGAAAGAGGACCTCAGGGATATTTTGCACTTATGTACCCAGGGTCATTCCTTCAGGGCCTTTGAATGCTCTGGGGGAGCCTGGGAACAAGGTGGTTGCTGTTCAGTCCATAAGTCACATCCGATTCTTTGCGACCCCATGGACTTCAGCACGCGAGCCTTCCCTGTCCTTTGCTATCTCCTGGAGTTTGCTCAGACTCATGTCCATTGAGTTGGTGATGCTATCCAAGAGGGTGGGAACAAGTTAGTTCCTAAGTATCCAGGAATGATATACCCAGAGAGGGCACACTCCAAAGGGAAAGGCAGCTCCACGGTTCCTGAAATATCACTGTTCACTTGGTAGCGTTTCCTAGGATGTTCTGGTTCTACTCAAACCCTTGGGTTTGAATCAATCCGGGGCTCTTCAGATGGGGTCTCTTTGGCCAGACTGGGGCTTTCTTCTCAGAATAAACAGCATGTGTAAAGTGGGCATGCAACAGTGATCCAAATCCTGAGGTAAGTAGATGAATGCAAGCAGTCAATATGCCACTAAGTCTAAGGACTGGTTGTTGTTGGACCATAAAGAAGGCTGAGTGCTGAAGAATTGATGGTTTCAAACTGTGGTGCTGACGAAGACTCTTGAGAGTCCCTTGAACTGCAAGGAGATCAAATCAGTCAATCCTAAAGGAAATCAATCCTGAACATTCATTAAAAGGACCAATACTTTGGTCATCTGATGCAAAGAGCTGACTCATTGGAAAAGACCCTGATGCTGGGGAAGACTGAAGGCAAAAGAAGAGGGGTGGGCAGAAGATGAAATGGTTGGATGGCATCACCTACTCAATGGACATGAATTTGAGCAAACTCCATGAGATGGTGAAGGACAGAGGAGCCCGGTATGCTGCAGGCCATGGGCTTGCAAAGAGTTGGACATGCCTTAGCCACTTAAAGACAACAACAACTAAGGACTGGGGAGAACTGACCCCCTGAAGACATTGCTCATAAGACTCTGAACATGTTCAGAGCAGCATCCAAAAGCTCTTTCGTTGACCTGGTTGACTAAAATGAACTTAACCTCACACAGATCATTTCATTTCTTTGGGCCTCGATTTTTTCATCTACTGGGTATCACTGATAACCTCTGCAATCCTTTCTGGCTCTGACACTCCACTACTTTGAGGATGGGCTCTGAGTAAATACAGTTTTAATAATGTGGAGTCACTCCAGTAGTATGTAAGGTTCTAGACCCCAAACAGAATGGGGGCACACACTCATGGGTGAAATAAGGGTGAGCTGTGGCTCATTTAAGCCTTAGTTTGTAGGGAGGTGAATGTATCTGAGGTCATTGTCTTAGCTTTTGCATGGAGGGGTTGGCTTCTCCTGGTCACGTTGATGTCCCTATACTGCGGAACCCTGAGACAAACAGTTAGGCAGGTCACATCCATGTGGGAGATGCACTGCATAGCTGTAGGAAACTGGAAGGAGTGGTTAAGAGATTTTTATTTCAGGAGCTTCCCTGGTGGTCTGGTGGTTAAGAATCTGCTTTGCAATGCAGGGGATGCAGGTGCAATCCCTGGTTGGGGAGCTAAGATTCCACATGCCATGGATGATGCAACTAAGACCTAATGCAGCGAATAAATAAAGAGGTCATTATTTCAGATCCTGGCTCTGCCATTTACAAACTCTGTCATACAACCTCCTCCTGGAACCTCAGTTTCATGATTTGTAAAACAACGATAACAATATACCTCCCTTAGAAGGTTGGGAGGACTACTTAAGATAAACGAAAGGTGAAGGCCACTTAGCACAGCAAGTCCCCATCAAACTTTGCTGACTACAATGGTTTATATGGCAGCGATCCTGAGGGCAGGCCCTCAGATCACAGGCTCCCTTTATCACTTCTGCCTATGTCCGGTCCCTGGCTATCTGTTAGGCGTTCGTTAACTCTAGGATGATGTTGGATGTCCCAGTGCCTGTTCATCCCTGAAGTTCACTCCAAGGACAAGGGCTTGAAGACCAACTCATCTGAAGTACTTCTACACTGGCACCGTTTCTCCACTCTTCCTGAGAATCCCAGTGTCATTCTCAAGGTGGGGCATTTTCTGCTGAGCCAACACTTGCCATAGGAAATATTTTAAATAGCCATCTTCAGCATCTTGGTTTCTCACTCCATCAACGATCTCACAAGGTACTTGTGAGAGTAAAAAAAAAAAAAAAATGTATGTAAAGAGCCAGTGCTACCTGACAACAGGCTGTCAGTCATTCAATCTTAGCTCCCTTCCCCTTGCAATCACCTTCCTAAAGCAGACACCTGAGAGAGAAGAGAGTGAGGGAGAGGAAGGCGCCAATGATTTCCCAAATGTCAGCTATCTTAGCAAGTCCCAGATGGTATTATGATGAACTTTCCATAAATATAATAAAAGCCATTTTCTCCAGTAGGTCTACCTGTGAGCAACAGAGGTGTGGAGGGTGGTCCACAGCACTGAACAAAGATGAAGAAGGCTATGATCCAGGTCTCAGCACACATATACTCTGGAGCAGCACCGAAGCTGTGTTCGGGACAGGCACTCTGCCAGCTCCCCTGCCTGTTTTGCCCAGTACTGGCTTCTTGGAGCTGGGGTGGAAGAATTTTCCCTGAAGGAAAGCAGCCAACACCTTGCCCCACCCTCCTCCTTGGGCAACTCTGCCAGGCAGGATTCTATCTCACTAGTTTTCTTTTGGATGCCTGAGGAACCAGCTGCCAAATTATCAGTTTGGGCTCAAGCCCCTCTTACCTGCCCCTCCCTGACCAGCCCTGAGCTCACCAGCCAGAGTCTGGAGGACTACCTTCTTTCCCATCAGCTGGGAATGCTCTCCCAGAGCTTCTCCTGTGAGCCAGAGACTAAGAAACCCTGGTCCTGTCATTGGCATATTTAATGCACAAACGTGGGGGGCTTGTTCCTTTTCAGATCCTAACTATCGCTGGCTGGGCACCCGGGGATTAAGCTGGGGACCTGCTCGGGACAGGTTGCCAGATAAAATACAAGTCTTGAATTTCAAAAGTCCAGTTTTGAATTTCAGATGAACCTTTTTTTTTTTCAGTACATATATGTCCCAAATGTTGCATAGGATACAGGTATGATTAAAATATTTTTAAAACCTGAAATTAACATGTAACTCTGTTTTACTTGCTAAAGTCTGGGAACCAGAGGCTGGCTTGGGGCACCTGGAGCAGCCCCTCCAAGAGGTGACACGGTTCGGAGGTCAGGCACCGGCTCGGGAATCCCGCATCCGGCACTTCAGCCCCTCGCCAGGGGAAAGGCCAAGGGCTGAGGGCTGCACCTCGCGGCGGGACCGTGGGAAAGTTCTTTGGGGAGGAAGGAGGAGTCGTGGCCTGGCCTCATTCCTGCTCGCCCACAGCCTCGGCTGCCACCCGCGGGCTCTCCCCGTCGCTGCCGCGCGCCCAGCCATCCGCCCACGGGCCGCCGCCGCCACTACCGGGCCCTCCGGGCCACGCCGGGCAGGTCCCGGCGGCTCTCCCCGTCTGGGAGGGGGAGGGGCGCCGAGTGCGCAGGCGCGGCGGGCCGGTGGGTGGGGCGCGCGCGCGCGCGGGGGCGGGGGCGGGGGAAGGGGAAGGGACGGCGTCGGGCGGCCAGACGAGGGCGTGGGCGTGGGCGCTGGCGCGGGCGGAGGTCGTAGCCCCCGCGGGCGCCCCGCCACTGGGCGTGGTTGCTGCTCCCGGTGCGGAATGGAGGGGCCGGCGGTGGCAGTTTGCGAGGTGATGCCGGGAAGGGAGAGAAAGCAAAGGAGGACACTCTGAGGAGACGGGTCTTGTGAGGAGGCCGAGAAGTTTGGGCAGAGGGGTCTGGCGTTGCCTGAGGGAGAAGGAAGGTTCGGGAATGGTAGGATTCGGTTCAAGTCAGCCTGTCCCTCGCGGGGTTGTGAGGAGCAGATGAGACGCGAGGCGTAGGAGCGCCTGGGCAGTCAAACCCGGGGGGCGCTCAGAAGTATTTAGTCAATGTGTGTGGGGAGGGGCATGGTCGTCCGCTGAGCGCGGGTGTCCCCCCCACCTGACGCCTAAGAAAGCTGCTCAGGAAGCTCAAGGGTTTGCCACACCTCAGCGGACGCTAGGGTTCGAGCTCGGATGGCAGCCCATGCCGGGAGAGCGCGCGGACAGCAGGGATGAGGGGAGACGGGGTCGGGGGGAGTCGAGGCCAACTTGTGCTGAAGCGGGGGCGAGGGAAAGCCGGGTCAGGCGCGCGGGTCACCAGAGTTTTGGAGGGGATTCCTGGGTCATGGCCCGGACAGCGGGATGATGAGAACCTGAGGTTCGGACGCCTCAGTCACCCAGCTCAGACCACCATGGACCAGAGATGCTCTGGAGGGTGGGACTGAACACCTAGCACAGAGTGGCCGCTTTCATTCATTCGTGACAGTTTTCACAGCCTTACCTGATTGAATTCTTTACTGACCTCGTAGTTAACTGTAAACCGTAGACGGATTAATTACTAGTCGTTCAGTTCAGTCGCTCAGTCGTGTCCGACTCTGCGACCTATGGACTGCAGCACGCCAGGCCTCCCCGTCTATCACCAACTCCCGGAGCTTGCTGAAACTCATGTTCATTGAGTCGGTGATGCCATCCAACCATCACATCCTCTGTTGTCCCCTTCTCCTGCCTTCGCTTTTTCCCAGCATCAGGGTCTTTTCCAATGGGTCAGTTTTTTGTCGAAGCAGAACCCATAAGCTCTGGGTTCTAACCTAGGTTCTGTCATCTGTAAGATCTAAACCTCCAGCTTTCTTTGACAACAAAGAAGGCAGGAAGATTGGGAAGACCTCTAGTACTAGCTAGTACTTAATTTTTTGTTGTTTAATCACTGAGTCATGTCGGACTCTCTTGCGACCCGTCTATGGACTGTGGCCCGCCAGGCTCCTCTGTCCATGGAATTTCCCAGGCAAGAATACTGAAGTGGGTTGCCATCTCTTCCTTCAGGGGATCTTCCTGACCCAGGGGTGGAACCCAGGTCTCCTGCATTGGCAGGCGGATTCTTTACCACAGAGACAGATTAAATAGAACCATAGTCTACAAGAGGTTGACCTGAAGGCACCTCGAGTTTTCCCAATCTTTCTGCCTTCTTTGTTGTCAAAGAAAGTTGGAGGTTTAGGTTTTGCAGATGACAGAACCTAGGATAGAACCCAGAGCTTCTGACTCACAGGCTAGTGTTCTTTTCCCAACTGCTCTCTCATTATGGATAAAGAAACTGTGGGAAAATCTGAACAGAGAGAGCACAGTAAGTCAGAGGATGTGTGAGGGAAAGTGTTAGACTGTAGAAAAGCCTGAAAACCATCCTTACAAACTGGTACAAATTAGGATCTTAGTTCCCATGTTCTCATGCTGAGATCTTTCTGCCTTTGAAAAAGGGGGGGGGGGCACGGGGTAATAACTTTTGCTACAGGTACCTCAGTGTGGAAGTGAGAGTCTACTTTCATAAATAATCATGGAAATTAAATACAGTATATTTTATTTTAAAATTATCAAGATTGAATGTTTTACCAAGATACCTTGGAGACCTGTTCAAGTTAGAATATTGTGTGCAGATGACTTTATTAGAAATAATAGCTAATATTTATTAAGCATTTACTATCTGCCAGGCACTGTTAAACATTTTGAACATATTGTTTTGCTTACGTTTGGCAGCCACCATATGTGGTAGATTTGTCCTCATTTTTATAAGTGAGGAAGCAGTGTTACAGAGAAGTTAAGTAACTTGTACAAGGTCACATGCTAGTATTTGACTCATCAGGGTTTCAAACCCTGGTATCTGCTTCCAAAGTCAGTGCTCTTAACTAGTATTCTGACCCTGGGAAATGTTGATGTAATGAAAAGTAAAGATTCACAAGCAGATGCCATTATTATTCATAATCTTCATGTTGACTTTTGTTTGGAAAGAAAAATAGAAACAGGAAAAACAAACTCCCACTTAATTTTTCCCACTTATTATTTCCAGATGAATTTATCCTTTGAATAAAGCAATTTGTTGTCTTCATTTCCTGTTTTGGACATTGTGTTGAATTTCACTGTCTCCTTTTTATGTCACTCACCTAGCTGTTTCCTCTGTTTAGACACAGTGCTTTGTTCCTTAACAAGTGTAAATCTGACATTTTGCAAGCAAGAATATTATTTTTTGGAAATGAGAATTATTAACTATCATACAAGTTTATTATTACCATGATTTTTAAAGAAGATTGTGGTTTCTTTGAATTGTGCCCTTTCCAGATTTTGAAATATTTAATAATTCACCAGAGGTGTGAAACAGCAGGAGTATCAAAGGGAGCATTGCTAGAAGGACAGCTAGTGATTTCCATAGAAGCATTAAATTCTAAGCACCAAGCAAATACTCTTCACTGTGTAACAACTAGTAAGTGGAGGAAGAAAAGATATTAATTTCAATCTGTTTTGTCATGTTTTATGTTATATTTTATTTAAAAATTTCAATTAGTGTTTTGTCTTTTATCAGCTCCAGAATTGTTCCATAATTAAATTGTTCCGTAATTAAACTTAAATGATTATGAAATAGGTATCTGGTGATAGATTTACAAATCTGTCATACAGGAAAGGTGAGTAGAATGACTTATCAGAAGATTATTTATTTTACTGGTTTAAATTCAGGTTACTCAAAAACCATCTAACTCTTGCTCTTGGTTTTAACTTCCTTTTTCACAACTAAATTACATTACATTGAATTTTATCTCTTTCATACCCAGCCTTTGGTAGTTGGAAAAGAGCCGAAAAATGAAAAGAAATGAAATGATGAATGGTGTATACTTTGATAATCCTAATTTGCAGTTAATTTGAAAATATATGTTTCTTCCATTTGGCTCTTATTATTTCATCATTTTTTGCCTGTATTCTTGGAAAGCTGATGCATTTAGTGGCCCTTGATAGCTAATTTTCTTGAATTTGTGAAGTGAAAACTTTTTTGTCTTGCTTTTTTGATGTGTGTGTATAGGTTTATTGAAGGATATTTTGGAATGAAGTTGTCCTGTCAGCCTTAGAGGAGTCACCCTGAGTCCCAGTTGAGGCTGGACAGTAGCTTAGGTGCTGCAAGACATTTCACACTTGAATTGAATGACCTGTCTTCGCTTTGTGTACCTAGCAGTAAACTTCAAGAGGGGTATGATAGTTTGGGTTGCTGTTAACTCTGCGTGAACTCCATTCTGGCTGAATAGAGTTCCCACCATTCCTGAGAGAGGTAGTGAGCTACACGGCAAGAGTGATGTTTTTCTGCATATGGTTGTATTAGCTTGTGCACTGATCATGATCCAATAAACTGTGGTCAGAGTGGCAGGGTGATTTCACTCCAAGCAAAGGACTTGAGTCACAACAGCTTTTGGCAAGAAACTGAATTACATAGACATTTTGAGCCTAATGGACCACTTCAGTCCATCTAGTATAAGGAGCATTTCTCTTCTGTTTATTGTCTCTGATCTTTATATTTTTATTCTTCTTGGCAGGAGGAAAGGTGATATGTGCTTGTCATGAAACATTATAACATTATAGAAACCTATACTGTGGATGGGGGCTTCCCTCATAGCTCAGTTGGTAAAGAATCCACCTGCAATGCAGGAGACTCCAGTTCGATTCCTGGTTTGGGAAGATCCACTGGAGAAGGGATAGGCTACCCACTCCAGTATTCTTGGGCTTCCCTTGTGGCTCAGCTGGTAAAGAATCCGCCCGCAGTACAGGAGACCTGGGTTTGATCCCTGGGTTGGGAAGATTCCCCTGGAAAAGGGAAAGGCTACTCACTCCAGTGTTCCACTCTGACCACAGTTTATTGGATCATGATCAGTGCACAAGCTAATACAACCATATGCAGAAAAACGTCACTCTTGCCGTGTAGCTCACTACCTCTCTCAGGAATGGTGGGAACTCTATTCAGCCAGAATGGAGTTCACGCAGAGTTAACAGCAACCCAAACTATCATACCCCTCTTGAAGTTTACTGCTAGGTACACAAAGCGAAGACAGGTCATTCAGTTCAAGTGTGAAATGTCTTGTAGCACCTAACCTACTATCCAGCCATTTCCTTCTTTCTGTTTCTATTAGGTTGGTGCAAATGTAATTGAAGTTTTGGACCATGAATTTTAAATCCTTACAGCTAGGCTCAAACACATCTTTTTAAATCAAAATCAGAACCATTATAATCAACAGATTTTTACCAAATGAGAAATAAGTTTGTTTATTCCTATAGTGTAAAAATCTGTGCTTCGGGATTCAGTGAACTCTTGGAAAGCATTTTCCCTGCAAAAAGTTGTTAAGATGCTTGAAGAAGTGGTAGTTAATTGGCCAGAGGTCAGGTGAATATGGAGGATGAGGCAAAATGTGGTGGTCCAGTTCATTCACCTTTTGAAGCATTTGTTGTGTGACGTGTAGTTGGGCATTGTCATGGAGAAGAATCAGGCCCTTTCTGTTGACCAATGCGGGCTGCAGGTGTTGCAGTTTTCAGTGCATCTCATCGACTTGCTGAGCATGCTTCTTAGTTGTAATGGTTTTGCTGGGGTTCAGAAGGGATTGTCCCAACCCAGGGATCAAACCAATGTCTCTTAACGTCTCCTTCATTGGCAGGCAGATTCTTTATCACTAGCACCACCTGGGAAGCCCCAAGAAAGCTGCAGTGGATCAGACCAGCAGCAGACCACCAATGACAGCGACGTTTTTTTGTTGCATGTTTAGCTTTGGGAAGTGCTTTGGAGCTTCTTAGTACAGACACTGAGTTGGTTGTCATATAAAATCCATTTTTCGTTGCACATCACAATCTGATTGAGAAATGATTCATTGTTGCATAGAATAAGAGAAGATGACCCTTCAAAATGACAATTTTTTTGATTTTTGGTCAGCTCATGAAGCACCCACTTTATCAAGCTTTTTCATTTTTCCAATTTGCTTCAAATACCAAGCAGTCATAGAATGGATGACATTGAGTTCTTCGGCAACTTCTCTAGTTGTAAGAGGATCACCTTTGGTGATGACTCTCAATTGGTTGTTGTCAACTTCTGATGGCCAGCCACTACACTCCTTTTCTTCAAGGCTCTTGTCTCCTTTGCAAAACTTCTTGAACCACCACTGCACTGTCCATTCGTTTGCAGTTCCTGGGCCACATGCATTGCTGATGTTGTGCATTGTTTTCATTGCTTTATGATCCATTTGAACTCAAGAAAATCGTTTGAATTTGCTTTTTGTCTAACATTATTTCCATAGTCTCAAATAAATATAAAATAAACAGCAAGTAATATCATTAGGAAAAAACCAAACCAAGAATGAGCATTAAAGCAATGTATAACATAGCTTCGCTTATTTAAAAATGTATCCCATGCATGAGACAAGTGCTCGGGCCTGGTGCACTGGGAAGACCCAGAGGGGGCGGGTGGAGGGGGAGGTGGGAGGGCGGATTGGGATGGGGAATACATGTAAATCCATGGCTAATTCAAGACAATGTATGACAAAAACCACTACAATGTTGTAAAGTAATTAGTCTCCAACTAATAAAAATAAATGAAAAAAAAAAACAAAAAAAAGAAATGTGATGCTAACAACAAAGAAAAAGAAAACAATAGTGTTCATAATACTCAAAAAAACAAAACAAAACAAAAAAATAAAATAAAATAAAAATGTATCCCAATATCAGACGGTAAAGAATCTGCCTGCAATGCAGAAGACCCAGGTTTGATTCCTGGGTCTAGAAGATTCCCTGGAGAAGGGAATAGCTACCAATCCAGTATTCTTGCCTGGAAAATTCCATGGACAGGGGAGCCTGGTGGGCTATCCGTGGGGTCGCATAGGGTTGTTGGACATGACTGAGCAACTAACATTTTCACTTTTTTTTCCTTTCCAATATTACGTGACAAATGGCAACAATGCAAACCTGCCATTGCTTTTGCACCAACCTAATACAATTTTATTAAAGTCATCTCTCTTACTCTGTATCTTTGTGGGTTTATTGCTTCTAAAAATATTCCTTTGCTGTCGTTGTATTGAAATTTCAGGAGAGAGTGAAAGTAGATATGTATGTTCAATCTGCCATCTTTATCTGAAAGTGAGTGATGTCATTGGCCTGAAATCTCTGATGATGAAGAATGACATATTCATTACGTAGTGTTGCTGTAACAAAGTACCACAAACTGGGTGGCTTAAAACAAAGTAAATTTATTCTCTTACAGTTATGAAGGCCAGAAGTCCACAATCAAGATGTCAGTAGGGTTGGTTCCTTCTGGAGGCTCTGAGGGAGAAATCGATTCCTTAGCTGTCTTCTACCTTCTGGTAGTTGCCAGCAAGCCCTTGGTGTTCCTTGACTTGCTCCAGTCTCTGTCTTCATGTAATGTTCTCCCTCTTCACATGGCCTTATTATAAGGACACCAGTTGGATTTAGAGCCACCCTAATCCAGTATGACTTCATCTTAACTTGATAACGTCTGTGAAGACCTATTTCCAAATAAGGTTGTATTCACAAGTGTTGGGCTTTAGTCTTCAAAATCTCTTTCAGAGGCACATAATGCAATTCACAACAAATCAGAAAATTTTATTGTTGGAATGATCCATCTATGAGAAGCTGAGAAATGACTATATATAGTTTTTCCTATCATTGTTCAAGGCTTTAACAATTCCAGTGTTTCCCAAAATGTGTGTTAGAGGATGTTTATATGAATTTTGAGAAAGGAGTTACGCAGTCATCTAAACTTGGGGAGAGCTGGTTACAAATGAATTTTGTTATTTTAGATCTCAGAACCTTTAATATGCCAGTATGGACTGTGAATCTTTAAAAATGGGCTCTAGTATGTAGCATTTCCTAAACATATGTAACCTTGTAGTTTTTTTTTAATCATCTTTTTTTTGTTTGTTTTTATAACCTGACTTTTAAAAAGTTTTCTTTAATTTTTCGATGTTCTGGGTCTTCATTGCGGCTTGGGTTTTTCTCTAGTTGCAGAAAGCAGCGGCTACTCTGCAGTTGCAGTACACGGGCTTCTCCTTGCAGTGGCTTCTTTTGTTGTGGAGCGTGGGCTCTAGGGTGCGCAGGCTTCAGCAGTGAGCTCAGTAGTTGCGGCTGCTGGGCTCTAGAGCATAGGCTTAATAGGTGTGGTGCATAGGCTTAGTTGCTCCGAGCCAGGTGGGATCTTCCCAGGCCAGGGATTGAACCTGTGTTTTCTGAATTGGTAGGTGGATTCTTTACCACTGAACCACCAGGGAAGCCCTTAAATCATCTTCTGTTCTATAAAGAGAATTTGGGACAATGTTGTTGCTTAAAAATACCTGTCCTGTCATCTTTGCATTTGAAGGATAGCGTTTTATTGCTTTAGTACGGAAAGATTGGAAGCATAGCTGAAAATCTGTGGAGCAGGCAGGATTGTTCTCCCTGCACGTGTTCACCCCAGGTGATCTATTTCTAACAATTTGTTGATAGGATACTTGTTGAAACTAAGGAAGGATGTCAGAGGAAACTGTGAGATATGCAGTTGAGAAGCATCGTGGACACACTGTGAGACATACAGGTGTGGTTTGTTTTTTGTTAACGTTCTAGCTCCTCACTGATCCCTAGTGTCCGCCTGCCAGCAGCTTCCCAATCCCTGTCCCAGTAGCAGTCACCCACTCTTTTAGGTCAGAACTAGCGTATGCCTGTGAAGAACGCTATGTTTAAAAATGCTTTTTGTTAAATTAAAAAATTGTTAAATTGTTGTTAAAGGAATTTTTCATTTAATTTAGCTAAATTGAAATAGCCTCATGTATTAATAGCTAGTAGCTACTGTATTGGGCGTCCCAGGTGGCGCTAGTGGTAGAAAACTAGCAGGAGACTTAAGCCGCTGGGTTTGATCCCTGGGTTCAGAAGATCCTTTGGAGGAGGGCAAAGAAACCCACTCCAGTATTCTTGCCTGGAGAGTCTCATGGACAGAGGAGCCTGGCGGGCTACAGTCCATAGGGTTGCAAAGAGTTGAACATGACTGAGCTACTTAGCATGCATGCACGCACAGCTACTGTACTGGACAGCACATATTTGGAGAATGATACTGCCTCTTACTATAGATCAGTGATTCTCAACCTTTAATCCCTGACAGAAGAATACATATTTCTTGAGGTATAGACACATTTCCATTGGTTCTTACTGCAGTGATTCTTAGATTCTTAACTATGGGGTCACATCTCTCTGGGGGAAGGTATGTTCTATTTGGGGAAAAAAGCCTCTTGGTGGTTCTGATCTTCCCCACCCTCTTAGGGGCCTGTTCCCTTACTTACCCTCTTTCCCTGAAGAATTATTGTTCTAGGTGTTCTAATGTTCTGATTTAGAACTCTGGGTACAGAAAATTCTTACCTGATAGTCTGGTAAAGAGTAAATTTACTAAAGACTGAATTGGTTAAACGAAAGACCAAAAATGTTAATTGAATTTTATACTGGAAAATGACTTATTGGCATGAGATACTCTGGTTATTAGCCATACTTTGCAGTCTTCCTGTGATTTTTTTCTATCAGGAATAGTAATATCCAAGAGGCAGCCCTGGTATTTAATATGGGTAAAGGAGTTGCTATTTGGTTCTCACCTCTAAGAAGATATTCTGCCCCTGAAAGGTTGTAGTCTCCAGTACTTCTTTGGTGCTTTTTGTTAGTTGCTGATCAGTGACTAAGTTGTGTCCGACTCTTTGTGACCCCATGGACTGCAGCATGTCAGGTTTCCCTGTCCTTCACTATCTCCCAAAGTTTGCTCAGATTCTTGTCTATTGAGTCGGTGATGCCATCTAACCATCTTATCCTCTGCTGACCTCTTCTCCTTTTGCCTTCAATCTTTCCAGTATCAGGGTCTTTTCCAATGAGTCAGCTCTTCGCCTCAGGTGACCAGAGTATTGGAGCTTCAGCTTCAGCCCTTCCAATGAATATTCAGGATTGATTTCCTTTCGGATTGACTGGTTTGATTTCCTTGCAGTCCTAGGGACCCTCAAGAGTCGTCTCCAGCACCACAATTTGAAAGCATCAGTTCTTTGGCATTCAACTCTTCTTTTGGTCCAACTCTCACATCCGTACTTGACTACTGGAAAAACTATAGCTTTGACTATAGGGACCTTTGTCGATGAAGTGATATCTTTGCTTTTTAATACACTGTCTAGGTTTGTTACAGCTTTTCTTGTAAGGAGCAAGTGTCTTTTAATTTCACGGCTACCGTCATTGTCTGCAATGACTTTGGAGCCCAAGAAAATAAAATCTGTCACTGTTTCCACTTTTCCCCTTCTATTTGCCATGAAATGGTGGGACCTGTAGGGAAAGAGCAAATTAGCCAAGATAGTGATGGTCAAGCTCTCTCACCCCATGGCCTCTCGTGCTCTCGCCCCACATTCTGTGAATGCATGGTTATGTAACAGCTGAGATCACTTGTAAGAGCTCTGCGCATGCACGTCGCAATGTATTGGCTTGGCCACAGGCCTCTTTTGTTCTGTAAACATATATAAGCTCCACCTGAAACGCCATTGTGTCCCCATCATGGCTGTGTTGTGACCGGGTTATGGTGTGTCCGCTGGGTCAGTCATGAGAGACTACAGCATGCCTGCTGCTGCTATGGCTGACATGCCAGTCAGGAGAGAAGAAACATGTCTGCCATCCCTATGGCTCCTTGTGTTTTCTTGCAGCTTCCCGGCTCACACCTCAGCGAACAGTGAGATACAGCAAGACAGGACCTGATGCTGGGATCTTAGTTTTTTGACTATTCAGTTTTAAACAGCTTTTTCACTCCTCTTTCACCCTCATCAAGAGGCTCTTTAGTTTCTCTTCACTTCCTGTCATTAGAGTGATATCATCTGCATATCTGAGGTTGTTGATATTTCTCCCGGCAATCTTGATTCTAGTTTGTGAGTCATCCAGGCCAGCATTTTGCATGATGTACTCTGCAAAGAAGTTAAATAAGCAGGGTGACAATATACAGCCTTGACGTACTCCTTTCTCAATTTTGAACCAGTCAGTTGTTCCATGTCCTGTTCTAACTGTTGCTTCTTGGCCCAAATATTAGTTTCTCAGGAGACAGATAAGGTGGTCTGATAGTCCTGTGTCTTTTTTTTCCAGTTAGTTGTGATTCACAGTCAAAGGCTTTAGTGTAGTCAGTGAAGCAGAAGTAGATGTTTTTCGGAAATTCCTTTGCTTTCTCTGGGATTCATGAAATTCCCTTGCTTTCTCTATGATCTCTATGATGGTCATTATTAGTGACCATCTTTTAAATATTCTGTAATCAACAGTGATTTCAGGCTCCCATATGATTCTTTAGATAAAATCCATTTAATTGCTTCATTTTTGATACTTCTTTGTGTTCTGTTTCTTCCAGTTGCTGCTGCAGGAAGCATTTATGGTGGTTTGGTCCTCAAGAAGTTCCTTAAAGGTAAATAATTATACCCAGCTTCCACAAGATTAAGTCTCTTCCAGTCAATAAATTTGGTATTTTCTGAAACAAACAATATATACTGAAAGATTGGGTTGTCAGATACAGCAAATAAAACTATGACTCCCACTTAAATTGGAATTTCAGATAAACAGTGAATACCTTTTGGGTATACATATGTTTTATGCAATAGTTTATCCTCTAGTTTATCTAGAATCCTACTGAAAGATGATCTATAAAATTGTATAGATACAGGAAAAAAATTGTCTAGGCCTAAGGCAAGATACCTAGGTCACTGTTCTCTGAATACTTTCCGTACAACCTCAAGCAAAGTTTTCCCAGATGTGAAATACAATCTTTAGTAAAATATTTGTTCCCATCTATCTCAGAGAAATAGTGTATGGAAAATGCTTTTACTATAAATCATTCTGGCTAGTTTTAACACTGTTTTACACATGTCAAAGTTGGTATGGTTTAGGCGTTTTCAGTGACCTTGATTTTAGAAGTTTTTCTTTCCTTTGACTTGAGAATACTCTACAACCAAAGGACATACATTTGTTTAAGGAAACCGAAGGATTTGAGAACCACTGTGCTTTCCTTTTTATCTTTTATGGCTGTGTGGTTTGTAACTATTGTCCAATGGCCTGTCTTTTCCTAAAGAATGCTAAATTTACAACTTTTACAAAATAATTTGTTAAAAGAAACTTTTCCCAATTAAATCTGAAATATAAGTAGATTGTAGTGTTTTTTGAACTTACGTTGTCATTCTTTAAGAAAATACGCCATGTATTAAATATAGAAACAACCAAAAAGCTACATTAGAAGGGTATAATGTTATAAAATATATGTTTGTGAAATGTACCACCATTGGACTTTTTATTTATTTACTTATTTTTTCCATTGGACTTTTTAAAATGGCATGGTTTCTTAATGCTTTTTAAAATACAATCAATTTAAAATTTTAATTTATACCCAGATTTCCAGCAGTTCAGTTGCCTAAAACCAAAGTACCTGCCTTTATCTTGGTCATATCAAAGAAAAAAAAATTACCATATGTATTTTTTGCAACTCACAATATGAAAGACTAAAGACATAAACATATAGGAAGCAGTTCTGCCTTTTGAAACTTCTTTTTTGAAGTAGTTTTTAGTTTAACCATGGGGATTTAAAAGTGCTTGCTTGCTAATTTAAGGGTCATCAGGTGTATTCCCATTTGCCTTTCAAATTTTCTTGGCCCTCTGAATCTATTGATATCTTCCAGCTGTCTGTACCCTGGATCCCTAATAGACTTCGGCTTTTTGCTCTGTGGTTTTAATTTGTTTATATTCTGCTTGGTGTGCACACATTTAAAAGCAGTAATTATTAAGGAAGTGTAATAAAACAGAAAATAAATTGTGATTTTTGTTCTTCACTCTGTAGGAGATAAATTCTGTGGGAGCTTGGGTAGAATTTTCTCCCTGTGGTGACAATCAAAATGATTTATTATTTACTGTTTACTTAGCTTTGTGCTTGACACAGAGGGGTTACACTGGTAAACATGATATATTTGGTTTCTCCCCTTAATCCCACATTTAAGATATCTTAATTATTTAATTATACTGCCTCCCAAAGCAAATGCCTGGAAGAAAGAGCGAATTGGCTTACTGTCCTGGAGAGTTTGCTGCAATTCTAAGACTTTCAGGAAATCTGAATTCAGCTTTAAGAATCATGAATTGACTGTCTGAAAATCATCCAGTCCATTTATCAATCTTTTAGTTCTCTGCTTTTTTGGATTATGCCATTGAGATGATGCAAAGAGTGGAAAGATCATTCTTAGTGCTGCTGCTCCATTTAAGTGTGTGAAAGTGCTTTGAAAGAAATGAAAATTCATAAAAATAAAAGAATATGTTATTAACACCAGGGAGGAGAAAGACTGTTTCCTGCAACATAAACCTGTATGGCACAATGAGTGGTTAGATCATACATGATGCATGATCTTTGACTAATCTTTGACTAGTATTTGTGAAAGTGCTTTGAAAAAAGTGAAAAGCCAACTGAGTACAGGGAGATGGTTTTACGGTCATTGCTAACACTAGGGGGAGGGTGTTGAGTAGAGTTTATGGAATAACCATCTGTTGATTATGCTAATGCAAACTTTAGACTATTTGTGTCTTTTTGACTTAATTTGTTATTTTAACAAATTTTGTGCATATTTAAACTATTTTCATGTCCTTGTGATAAAGTTGAGGTGTCTAACATTTGTATAAAGAGGAAGTACTGCATATCAAGTACACAATAAAAGTTGAGTCATTTGCTCATCATCGGTCACATTTAGTAGCCAACTTTAGCCTGTCTTCTCTCTAGCTGTTAGGCCTCATATTAGCTTTCACTCAATAATGCTATTTATTCTTGCTAATTAGTAACAAAAATAACTCAGTAAAGCTCACAGAGGAAATTGTCCAAGATTAAGATTTGAATCCCTTAGCTCTCTGGTTTATGTACCATTAATTATGCCTTTATTACTATTGTTATTTAGCATTCCTATAACATTAGCAAACTGCTTTAAATTGGTCCTTTTGCAAATCTTTTCACTATTAACTTCATCAGTATGTCTCTGGTGGCTGATGGATTAACCACCAAATTTCCTGGTGATAAAGAATCACATATCTGTACAAAATTAATAGTATGCCTCTGAATTCAATTTGTTAGCTGTTAAATCCTTTTCATTGCTCAGATGATTTCTTTCAGTGTCCAAAATAAGGTCTCCCCTCTTTCTACGGGAACTTTTTCTCTGGTTCTTGAGTACTTCAGATCAATTCTTATACCAACAGGCTCATATTTATGGGTGTTTTCTTTATGCTGGATTAATGACAGATGAGATGATTTGATAGCATCACTGACTCAATGGACATGAATTTGAGCAAGCTCCAGGAGATAGTGGAAGACAGAGGAGCCTAATGTGCTGCAATCCGTGGGGTTGCAAAGAATCGGACACAACTTAGTGACTAAACAACAGCAACAGCAATAAACAATGACCAAGATAATCTCCCTGGTTTCCTACCTCTCTAATGGTTTATGTTCTTTAAAAATTTTCTTTCTTCTCTGTCCCTAATTATTTGTACTTTTGTCCAGTAAACCTTTATTGAACCTCTGCCTTGCCACAAGGACATTATAATAAAATACAGTGTGAAAATAAATTACTGTGTGCTAAGTACTATATAGTGCTTCTTTGGTAACACAGAGGGTATTCCCTAAAGTTCAGTCACCAATATGCCTTTCTTCCCTTTATTATTCTTCATCATCATTCTACACTTACTTCAGATATCTTCTACTTTTAAGGCTTTAACTGTCATTTCTGTGTTGACGAGGCTTATTTTTTCTGTCTCTAATGTGTTTCCAGCTTTGATTGTCAATTAAATTATTCCGTTTGAGGGTTCCTCTGAAATATCATATGCAGCGTATCTAAAACAGGGTTCATTTTCTTTAACTTGCTCTGTAATCTCCCCTGATGTTAGTATCTCCAGTGATACTAACATTTTCATGATTCTCCAGGCTTAAAATTTTCAGCTTTTTGTTTTTGAGGGGAGGGGGAGGCTACTCCTTTTCTTTTGTCCATTATCTAACATAATTGAATTTTTGGTTAATTCTGCTTTTACAGTGTAGCATTATTTATTAAATTGTATGTTAATTTAAACATAGCTTTATGTCCCTCCCTGTGCTGCTCTGTGCCCAGTTGCTCAGTCATATCTTTTTGATCCTTTGGACTGTAGCTTGCCAGGCTCCTCTGTCCATGGGATTTTTCAGGAAAGAATACTGGAGTGGGTAGCCATTTCCTCTTCCAGGGGATCTTCCCAACCCAGGGATCGAACCCACATCTCCCGTGTCTTCTGCACTGCTGAGCCGTCAGGGAAGCCCCATGTTCTTGCTTAGTGACTCCGGATTGCTTATTGGAATGGAGCACCGCAGACTCTGTTCGAGCTTCTCTGTCAACTAGAATGATCTTCTGTACTTTGAAGGATGACGCTCATTAAGATAAATTCTTACGTGTTTAAAATTCATATCCTTTCATATCAATATATGTACTACTTACTTTTCTTCATAGTCATCCATATATGTAGAGATCATTTACATATTCCTTTATGAGTATACTTATGCATGTATGTAGAACTAATTCTATCATAACTATCTGTTTTGTGAAACATGATAGTTTTAACTCATTCTTGCCCAGATCTAGAAACTACTTCATAACATGTCCTTAGTGAAGAAAAGAAGGAAAAGAAGAGATGAGGTGGAGGAATATGAAAAAAGCCATATATAAAGGTGTTTATTTCACTGCCTCTTCTAAGCATATTATTTTTACTTGTTTTTTAATCTTATTTTAAATATTTCATCACTCATGTTTATGGACATAATTTAGCTCTTTGCTAAAATATAGTTTGGCCAGTTATTTTTTAAAAATGTTCATATATTTTTACCAAATAAGAAAATTTACAGTGGTTTTTTTTTTTTTCTTTCCCTTCAAAAGACTAGATGGGAATACCAGCCCTTGAAAGCAGGGAAGATGGTTATATGGTTACGATAGTTCAGCTTTTGACTCTTTCCTGTGTTCCACCATTTGGGCATCAGGGAGAAGACTTCAGTTTTGTCGTCTTTTGTTAATTTGTTGGGAATGGAGGTGAGGAGTTGTGCTTTTCATACAGTAGAGAGACTGATGTGTTCAGGCTTGCTCAGTGTTGAGTGAGAAACTCACAGTGGTGAACTCTTAAATGTCTGGCTCAATATATATTTTTAAAATCCAAGATTCTCATATTCAAAAATTTAAAGTTTATTATAATTTTATATCTTACAAAATCAACGGCTCTAAATCTCACTACTTATCTAACACTTTTTCTCCCACATATGTGTTCTGTAGACATGACCTCATTCTCCAGAGACAGGTCAGACATAAGTTGTCACCATTTCTGTTTCAGAGATGAGGAAACTGCGACTTACCTCAGTCTCTGATATTAAGTTCAGAAGTC